GTTCTGAAACCGGAACGGGCCGTTCTGAAACCGGAACGGGCCGTTATGGTTTCACTTTTTGTGTGTTAATTTTGCATTTGAAACGGGACGTTCTGAATGCAAAATTAATACACCAAAAATGAAACCAGAACGGTCCGTTCCGGTTTCAGAACGGGCCGTTCTGGGTCCAGGTATTTTAAAAAAAATTGTCATCCACGTGGCATCCACATGACATCCACGTGGTATCCACGTATGCATATACGTGGCATCCACGTGGGCAAAAGTTAACTCCGTTTAAATAATTTGGACGGAAGTCCCAAATTGAAACCAATTAATTAGTTTGGGACCAAATTGAAACTAAAAATAAAAGTGGGACTAAATTGAAACAAACAATTATTATAAGGGACCAAATTAGTGTTTTAGCCAAAAATAAAATATTCATTAATCATAATAATATAAAAAAATTATAAATTATAAATTTAATTCTGATACATAACATGATTATCACACTATAGCTTTCATAATATAAAGGCAAATGAACAGGTTAAACACATTAATAAGTAAACTGGAATAAGACTCCACTTAAAAGGAATTATAGACACACCATGTATTCATAATGAGATTCTACTAGTATTCATAATATACAAAGTAGGCACACCATGAATTCACGAGAAGGGAGAGGTAAGGAAGTTGCAACTTAAGATCTAAGGGAACATTTGAAGGTTCCAAATCCAAGACTATTCACAAATGCATTTATCTATATATTAGTGCAACTTTTGTCTTTAAAAGTGCAAACATCTCTACTTTCCCTATAACAGCAGCATATGAAATCATAGCAAAATTCGATGGAGGCTCTTTGGCTAGACACTTGATTTGGGTAAAGGCAAGATGGTGGAAAGCAAATAATTGTTGACACTAGTAGAAAATTAGTATATTACGTCACCTCTTTAACGTCGAATACACTAAAATCTGACGTAAAAAAGATGTGGTGGCATTTTTGTAATTTTTGTGAACTTTTTTACGTCAGACCTGGTAGGGTCCGACGTAAAAAAAAAAGACGCGAAAGCGAATAAGAGAGTGGGAAGCACACTCGCACGCATTCACTCACTCGGATCTCATCATCACTTTTCTAGATTCTTCTCTGTAAACCCTCTCCCTCTCCTTTTGTTGCTGAATCGTTTTTTTTTTTTGTCTTCTGTAGAGTGGAGTGAACTCTTCATTACTCATTCGCACACTGTTGCAGCTCATCAGGTATGAATCAAGGTTTCGTTTTCTTGAAGAAAAAAAAAGAAAATTGTTACTCATAACTAATTTACCAAAAACTTTGTCATTTATAAAGATTTTAGCATAACCTCCCTTAAGGCTTTATCACCAAGATACAAAATGATTGTATTTCTTTCCTTTTTAATCATTTTATTCTTCTCTTTCTATGATAAAGACAAGGACATTTTTGCCTCACCATTTTAAAACTTCTACAACTCCTTATTGTACCACGATAGCTTATATCTTAATCCTCCATAACACAGTCATTTTGTCCAAAGAACTTCTCAATATAGTACTTGGTTGTTCTAATTATTTTGCCTTTCATATTCTTTCTTTCTTCCCACAAATGGCACCACTTGTTGATCTAAACAACAAAGAAAGGCACAAGTACCCCCCCCCCCCACAAAGATACATAGAAAAACATTGAATGCCCAATGAAAATTTATAGCGAGAAATATAATTGTGCAAAAGAAATGTAATAGGAATACGAAAAAGATTGAGAGCATAAAATACAATTAAATTTATTTGGTTCAACCAATGTTACTTACATCCATGAAAAAGGTAGTTTCCACTATATGAAAAACAAGACTAAGTCTTTCAACTAAGGAACCTTTAGCTCTTATTCACAACCTCTTAATATCTCTAAAAAGTTCTGTCTTCTATCGACGTATCTCCTTTACATCTTTGACATTTACATTCTTGCCCTATATATATATAAAAGCATCAACAATACATTGTATGATATGCTCACGGCAATATATATAATACTAAGACTATATGCTTTATTAGACTAAACTCATCAAACTGCGATAGATACATATTGAACTCATCAAACTAATAAATATTGACTCAACAAATTATACCTAAAGACTTACAAACGAAACAACGTATAAAGCCAAAAACACACTAGATTTTGAGTTAAAAAAACAATTAAAGTTACTATATATATTGGGGTATGGAGCCATGCAAGCTAATACACAAAGAGACAAAACTAACAGAAAAAAAAAAAAGAGACAAAGACAAAGAAACAGGCTAACTAATTAACAAACTAATTAAGATAAAACAGAAAATTAATTAACTTTTTTCGATGTTACTAAAACTAATAATAATTTTATGTTCAAAGGTTTAAAACTTGTTAACTGTCTCTAAAGTAAGAAACTGAATCTAACTAATTTTACTAAATTGTTGTAAAATCTGACCCATGTTAGTTACTCGTATCACATTTCACATGTGATTTTTTCGTGCTAGTTAATTATTTTGAGCAATACTACGGCCGGGTTTGAGCAAAATTAGTATGAAAGGTGTAGATGCAATAAAACAGTTTTTAGCAAAAGGTTAAAGCAAAATCTTGTCTACCATTATATAACCAGACACCAATGATGCCATCAAACGTCTAAGAATTCTTTAGTATATATTTGAAGCACAAAATTTTGAGGCATGGATCAGATATTGGGAAGATAAAAAAGCAAGAGTCCAACGTAACTTGTTTAGTTGGTCCAAAACAGGTAATGCTTGGCCAAATAAAAGAATGTCTCTTAGCAAAGACAAGGACAATAAACAGAAAGCTAAAACTGCTTACTTGATCACCTCTGAATGCAGAAATTTGGTGATGACAGTTTATAACTAGATGAAGCCACATGCATGGTTTCGACCAGAAAAAAACAACTCATTCTCTCCAGTCATATTAAGGAGAAATTATTGTATGATATGGTCATAATAACCTTCACGTGACGTATTATTAACTTATTCTCGTAAATAAAAAATATGAGTACATGTCACGCAGATTTATACATATTACTGAGATAAATCTTTAATTTTAATTGAAGAATAACATATAAATTGCATATAAAAAATTATACCCAAGTTTTATCCTACAATAATTTCTCCATGTTACAAGAACATACGCCATGCTTCACTTGTCATGTTTAGTTTTCTCTTCATAACCAAGAAGCTCTTCCAACAACTTCTCATCATAGTACTCAAACTCAAACACTTGATTAGATTGCTCATTGCTTCCTCTTGCAAGACTTGAAGAGGGTGCAGATGCTGACGAAGCTGAAGCCGAAGCTGAAGATGAAGCTGAAGATGAAGATGAAGATGAAGAAGCATTAGAAGAAGAAGAAGAAGAAGAAGAAGCAGCTGAAGGAGGGTACTCATGAGGGAAATTGAGGACTGCAAAGGGACCCCTCATGGCATAAGCAGCTCTATCATAGGCTCTAGCTGCTTCCTCTGCTGTGTTGAAAGTTCCTAGCCACAACCTTTGACCATGTCTCAATGAGTCACGAATCTCTGCTGCAAATTTTCCCCATGGCCTCCTACGTACCCCTCTGTACTTAACATGCTCTTCTTCATCCTTGCCTTTTCCTCTTGAACCCCCTTCATCCATCTTATGTTTTTCCTTCTATTCCACTTTCAAGTGTATATATACACATAAATAATTCCTAATCATAATGAAGAGTGACGCATGCAAAAAACTCTCCCTCTCAATGTTTCAGAAAAGTAGTTCAAGAGTTATGGCACTTTAACCAATCAAATGTTATTATTAGTATGATTTTTATTTATTTATTATAAAATTTAATAATTATCATTTAATTTGTAATTAGATGATAGAATAAAGTAAAAAAAAAAAAACATATTTTCTCGTGTTTATATATATAGTAATTATCATTTAAATTTGGTAATATTAATTTGTAATTATATAACAATATATACTATTAATTAATAGAGTTATATTGTTAACAAAATGTTTAAAATAATTATACTTATATTGTTAACAATATTATACTTATAATTATTTTTTAAAATAATTATACTAATCTCTCAAATTTTAATTGAGCAATTTTAATCAATTAAATACCACAATGGTGTGATTTTATTCATTTAAGTATTGTGATTTTAAGTTACACATATTATTAATTTTAGTACAATATATATATATATATATATATATATATATATATATTTGTGTGTCTGTGTATATATATATGTATATATTAATTAATTTACTTAATTCACATTGTTGTAGAACAAACATATATATATATATATATATATATTTGTGTGTATGTGTATATATATATTATCTAACACATGAATGAAAAATATAGTATATATAACTTAAATAAGTCAAAAGTTGTATCCTTACAATACTCAAGGACTAAACTCGTACAATTGTGATCTTTGAGAGACTAATTATTCGAGTAAAATTTGAAAGACTAAAATCATATTATACAATTAAAACTCAATTAATCAAAAACATAGTTAAATCTAATAATAATAACTCTTAATAATTAAATGTATTGAGTTTGATTACAGAAAAATAATAAGTACTCACTTTTAAAAAAAATCATATATTTCTTTTTTTCTCGGAGGCATTTTTTTCTACTAGTTAAATTAAATAAAAAAAATCATTATATTATATAAAAAAGTTTCTATTATTTTTACTCCTTATAATAAATTTTAAAACATACTAACGATGTGACAAACTTTTAAACGTGTTGCGTTAAAATGCTTGTTGATTTAATATTTTTATATATTTGTTTTGTCATCACTAAATGATAAGAATTCTTTTGAAAAATGATATAGTTTATAAAGAAAAGGGTCAAACTAATAAAGATTAAAGATTACAATTTTCTATTCACCAGCAAAAGTTTGTTTCAATTTTCATGTGAACCTACATGATCTAGAACCTGGGTCCACCAACATTGTCAAATCGCCCAAAATTACAAATATATTCAATTTTTTCTAAAAGTTAAATGCCAACAATGAACTTTGTAATTTACTGGGCAACTTTTCCTATTATTGATAAGAATTGGAATGAATAATGGGAAAATTTTACTAACGTAACTTGCAATAAAAATTAGAACGTGTTAAATGAATAATGCGTAAATGTCAACAGACTCATTACCAAAAGAGGAAGATTCCGTTTTGATGTTAGTGTGAAAACTTTATCGATAAATAATCTATAAATATTTTTCTAAATTAACGCTCATAAATTTTGAAACCTTACCCTAACTTTGATGAATCTCTGGAACTCAACTCAAATAAATGTTTATCATTCAAAAAAATACAAAAATTGAGAGCATTGAGACTGAAAGATAGTCTAATAATCAATACAGGATAAAACCAATTATGTGAAATGTTCAATGAATGAGGACACTTGTCTTTTGAGCATGACATTTTTTTATTTCTATCGACAGTTTTGAGTGTATAATAACATGGCTAAGACCATTGTGTAGTATCAAGTTTACAGTTTACCGTGTCATGATTAAGCAAATTATGCATGATAAGCAATATAAAAACTAAAAAAACTCATAGTATGATTGGGAAAGATTCCCCTCCCCTAAATTTTAGTTTTTTTTTCATCGGGTTTTCACTTGTCTCACACAAATCAATTTTGTAGGTGAAATAGAATACAAGAATGGGAGTGGATGGGAAGAAATAACTCATTCAAACATCACTTCATATTTTTAAAATTAAATTAAAAATTAAACCATAGTTACCATGTGTCTAAATTTATTTAGTTGTAACTATTGCATGCCAATTAGGAGAGAAAATAGGTGTCAATCTAACACTTAACTACTAACTATTTAAGAAACTAACAAAATTAGTATGTAGATGTAATGGAAGGATTAACTTGAATAACGAAGTTAATTAAAATTTAAGGATCTAGATCCTACAAAAAATCTTTCAAGAATCTATATCGATCACCTCTACCATCTTTCAGGAACCAAATTAGATATTTACTCCATAATATATTAAGAAAGGCTTATGATATATATCTCCCTACATTAATGATATGCCTCTATTATATTTTTTTTTCCTCCAAAATACCATTAAAAAATTTTATTTTTTAATTCTCGACTTTACGAACCCCTTGTCTTCAAGTTTCAATTTTTTTTCCAAGTACTCACCCGTCTTTCACATGCACCGGTTTGTTGCTCCCCTCTCTCTGACATTCATTTTTTTTTCAAGCAATTACCCCTTTCACATGCACCCCCTTCCTATTTGTTTGCCTCCAACATTCAATTTTTTTTCTTCAAGCACTCATCTATTTTACATGCACTCCCTTCTTCCATTTTTTAAGATTTCAAAACACTAAAATTTTATAATTGTATTCTTTTTTTTAAAATATAGAATTTTAAGATTCTCATCCACCCTTTCTTTCACATGCATTCAGTTCCTGTAACATTAATTTCTTTAGTGTTTTGAAAAGAAAAAAAAAACACTACCTGGAATAATATTTTCATAATTACATCAAGTATTTTTTAGAGGTATGTTTTTTTACATAGTTCCAAAAAATACTATCTAAAACACTAAAGAAGAAAAAGGAAAATGAAGGAAGAAAATGTATATATCATGAGTCAATTAATTACTTGCAAAATCAATCTTTAAAATTGAACATTTGAAATTCTAAAAAAATGGAAGAAGGAGATGCATGAAAAAAAAAGATAGTGCTTAAAAAAAATTGAATTAAATTTGGAGACAATTGAATGAAAAAGAGGTGAATACTTAAAAAAAACAATTAAACATTAAAAGCAAGGGGAAGAAAGGTCCATATAATCCATAAAATTAGAAAATAAAAATATTAAAAATATTTTCTTAAAAAATATAATAAATTTGTATTATTAATGTAAGGAGATGAATATATCGTGAGTCATTAAAAAAAAAAAAAGAAAAAAACTTGGTCTTCGATTGAAGTGTGTAAAATTTTGGGAAAAGATTCCTTCCTAAACCCTTTATTTTTTTTCTTTTGATTTTTGACATCTCTCTCTTCATTAGGTTTTCTCTTCTCACGTAAAACAATCCCCTTTCAAACTTTCACGCACCTCTACCCCTTCCCCTCGTCACCTTTCCTTTTTTACTTTCTTTTTCTTCTATTTTTGAAAATCACATGCTTCCTCCCTTCACATGTTTCTTCTTCACTTAAAACAATCCCATTCTTCTTTTGTCACTTTCACACCTCCCCCTATTTTATACCTCCTCGTTCTTTCTTCTTCATCCAATCATCCAATGAGGTATTTCATTTTTCCATTTCTTTGATTTTTTTCTCTCTCTCATTGTCTCATTTTATAATTGGATTTAACATTAATTACTTATTCTAATTTGATTATACAAGGGTAGAAGTATATTTTGTTTAGTGTGAGAAGAACATTGTCTTAAAATGTCTTTCTATTCATATTCCTTTGTTTATATATTGTTTGGAGTTTGGTATCAAATTGGTCTCTTGGATGTATCACTAAATAGTTTGACTTTGTCTTGTTAGAGTTTGGTTTTGATATTACTTCGCTTTATCATTAAGAATTTTATTGATTGTATTATTGGTTTAAGACATTAATTAATGCAGTTCAATAGTGTTAATTGAAATATGCCTTTGACACTCTTGATATTTTGTCACTTGAGTATCACCAAATAACATACTTAGGAAAATTTGAGCATTGCAATCAAAAGTACTAAAAATAATGTGTTGGAGTTTCCAGATATTTATAATCGTTTATATATACCTTTTATATAAAAACTTGGTTCGTATGTATAGCTCATGTTTATTTAAATTACTTTAGAACTCCTTATAGAAAGCACTTTCATTGTATTTGAGTTTGTGAAAAACATTAGATATGATACTTTTAACTATGATGATGACTGGTGCCTCTTTTGTACTAAACTTTCATAGTAACTCTAAAGCCGTCTCCAACAAATTTTAGACTTATGGCAAATTTTTTTATTTAAGTTTTATATTTACATGTACATAATTAATATATATTTTTATTTTATTCATTTAATTTTTAAAAAATAAAATAGTTAATTAAATTTATTAATAAAAAAATTTCAACATCTTATTCAATGATAATTTATTTAAGGATTAAACACATTTTTAGTCTCTAAAATTTAGAATAGACACAGATAGATAAATTTTGTACGAGAATATTCAATGCATTTCCTAACAAAATTTGATTATAAAGATTAAAATAATGTTTTTAAAATTACAATGACTAAATATATTGATTTTATATTTGAGAAATTAAAAACATATTTAAACTTTCTTTTAATCATTATTTTTTAACATTGTCTCAAATTAAATTTAATTTCAAAAATTTAATTTTGAAAAAAATGATAATGACAATAATTACAAATATTATTTACAATATTTTATAAAAAATATTGCATGCATTTAAAAAATAATTTTTTTTTTGTATAATTTAATACTTCTAATAGAACACTAATTTGCACTGTTAATATTTTATTTCAGTATTTTAATTTAGAAAACATGGTTATTGATATAAAATCAATACAACATTTCTTTAAAAAATTTATTTATTGAAGTTTAAATTTCAAAGTGATTTCATATTCTAATTTTTTTTCAAATAAGTTGTGAATAAAATAAAATAA